GTAAATCTGTTTCAGGACTCAAGAGTTACTTAAGGAAACATCAAAGAATGGTTGAGGAAAACTAAATTGGCATAAAAAGTGATTGTACTTGGTCACTATGTTGTGCTGTATGCTAAATATGGAGTCCTGTTGTCGTTTTGTACCATTCTATATCTGTTAGTTCTACCAATCAGCTATACTAAGGCTACCTAAGAATTGTTGAGTGGTATATTCCTTTTCCTTTGCCAATCCTTGCAATATCTTTTATATCACCTGCATGTCAGCACACAAAAATATAATTTTTCAGTCTATGGCAAAGACTAAATTTGTTATGAAAACCACAATAATCATGACAAAAAAACTGAAGAAAATTGTTAGAAGAAAATCCTTTCAACACACTAATTTGGTATATTCACATTTACTGCTCAAAAGATTGACACTATAAGCTTTTAATTTGTGCTAATTTGTTTATCATTTTTTAATCCATTTGTTGCCCTCAAATTCTTCCCAAGTCGTCCAAGTGTCTGTCACCCATGGTTGATCAATGAATTGATCACTTCAATCCTAGCCTTACCTTATCACACATTGTGTTTAGTTTTGATCATAAGGCCAGGAAGGATCAAATCGTCATTAGCTATCTTTGTATCAGGCTGATCCAAATGGAATGAAGATGCAAGAAAAGCAATAACTTGAATAAAAAAAATAAATGTTTTTATATATGGTCCTTCGTACAATACTTTGGTTAGTTTCATTGTTAAAATCTAGCAGTTTGCATGCAGACATTTATCGACCCAACCCACTTCTTAAGTTAGACATGACAGTTTGGCTAACTTGGTGAAGTTTTGACTTTTTCTCTTTGGCCACCTGATCAAACCTGCCTCCTTGCTTCTTTGTGTGAGTGCCTCTCACCACTGCCTGAAATCCTCCACCTTTCCTGAAATTTCACCTAGACCCTCTCCTTAGTCACCTGACCAAACCTGTCCCCCAATTTTTAATTATTGTTCAAAATTCTTTCTCATCATGCTTTTGTGTGTGGTCATTTTTGTATCAGGAATTTATTTTTATTTCCTCGTCAACCCTTTAGTCAACAAGCAGCAAGAAAGGGACAATCTCTTGGTTTGGGAAATTTTATTGTGCTTTGACAGATGAGAAAGTTAATTTACCTATTTTCTTTCGTAAATCTGTCTGCTTTTAAAAGTTAATCCTTATCAGTCGCCTAAATTCACAGCCAGAGGTTAGTTTCCTCAATGGTCATAAAAATGTTATCTATTTCTTTCCAGGAGGTCATTGGAACTCCAGAATAGCTTATTGCTTAATCTCAGTTTTTAATCAAAACCATATGGTCTCATTGTTTTGCTCTCTGGTGGACTAGAAATTTAATTATCTCCTTCTAGTTTCTTTTTCCAATAAACAAATATCCCCTTTTTTCATTTTCCTTCGTCCAGTCATCAGTACATCTTTCAGGTTATCAGAATTTAATGTTTTTCAGTCTTGTTTTTTTTTTTCTAAATTAAAAACAAATATCCCTTTCTTTCAATTTCCTTTGTCTGGTCATTGGTATATCCATCATTCTATTCATTAGCCTTCTTATTATTTACCAATGCTAAATAGTGTAACACATTCTCTTTAGTTCTGATGAGTGCATATTCATATGATTCTATCATACTGAGTCAAAAGTTTTTTCCTATTTTTACTGAGGATTTTTGGTAACTTGTATATCCATGTTATATCATTAATTTGATACAAATTGTTGTTCAATCATTGTTGAATTGTTTCTTTATTTTCATATATGACATATAAATATTAATTGTTTATTCTTTATTTTAAAACTTTGATAATGAATGGTGAATAAATTGTCCTGCAAGGACAAAGGAATGTAAATGAGGCTGAAAACAAGTGTTGGGAATTTTTTGTCTAAATTTGCCAGATGGTCAAATCATAGAATTGAGATTCTGGTAAGACAATGGCAACATACAATAGAACATGATGAGATACATTTTGATGAATAAACTGTTTTCATATGGAATTTGTTTGAATTATTAAAGCTTGAAATACAAAAAACATTTGACGCAAACCTAGCATATTCAACAGGATAGCTTGACCATAAGTGCTTATTGTTTTGTGCATCTGGTTGTAGAAGAACAAATCATGTAATCAGGTTATAGGATTTGTCTGTACAAGGCTTTCATCATAAAAAATATATATTTGTTGACAACTTTGACACAGGAGATAACTTCTAGGTGTTGTGTCCTTTCAGGATGTGGGTGATCATGATTCTCCATAACTTTCTGTACTTTTTAGCTTTTAATAAAGTTTGCTTTTTTGCCATCACTCCCAGTCCCTGTCTTACCATCCATTTACACAAGCTTGGTAGGATACTCTATTTCCCCTTTTGCCTTCAATATGTCTTATAAGAATCAAATTTTCCAAGCTCCTTTTCCTCATTATATATCCTAGAAATTTCAACTATCGCCTGATTCTAAGTATAAGCATCCTTTTTGTTTCCATTTTCCTTAAAACTGTCATTGTTCACATGTTCAGTGATATTTTCAGCATCCTTTTGTAGAACAAAATTTCTATGGCCTCAAGTTTCTCTTCTTCCTCTGTGCATCTTTGGATTTCAGTGTCACAAGTAAATAGTAGATATATAAACAGGAAGAGTCAGAAGATTCCACAAAAGTCCTGCCACTTTTCAGTGAGATCAGACAAAACTGGTTGCTTGTTTGGAAAAAAAGGGAAAGGTTTAGCTGCTCATTCTCTTTTTGACCAATATTTTGCATAAAATGAGAACTTAAAAAAAACCCCAAAAACAAGAGAAGTCCAAGTTTCTTCATATTATTAAATAATCAGCCAATGAGAATTAAGGAGTATATCATAAGTGTATTGTAAAAGACATACCAAGCAGACCCTGAATTTTCATCTATCATAATGAACAGGTATTCTCTCAGGGAGGCCCCATGCCTTGAGCACATATTGGGACGTAAGCTCAACACAGACCTCAAGTACAGATGATCCATTGATAAATATGCTGGAAAAATGGTTAGTGCCCTGTACTGCACCAGTAAATACCTTAAGCTTCTTGCTATCTTGTACCTTTACAAGAGCTAGATCAGACAGAAAATATTATTACTACCATATATAAACAGGAGCTGCCAATTCTTCATTTTCCCATCTCTATAGAGTTCAAAAGCTTCTATGCTGCCTTGTAGGTGATGAATTATTTTCTATCCTACAATCCCTTTCCCATAGATAAAACATTGCAAGCCTCTCACTACTCTATCACTATTTTCATGAAAAATGTTCAGGTAAACTAAATTCTAACCTTCTCATCAGATTGAAGCAAACCACCCTCTTTCCCTTCATATTCCATTGGTGAAATGTAAGCTCTACTCAAACAGCTTCCCATGAATTGGTACTCTGTGGAAATGACTCCTAAGAGGATGCTTCCCCGATCACTAGTCTTAACCTGTTCAAGTTTAGGGTTAACCATTATCCTGCTCATATGTCCTCATAAACTGTGCCTCTTACCTCTTACTCTATAATGCTCTACTTTGAGTAGTTCTTGAACCTTGTATATGATGAATATTATAAAAAAAAAAAACAAAAAAAAAAACACAAACAAACAACAACTAAAACAAAACTATGCAGTTATATAGATATATGCTGAAAATTTCTCTACCTGACCCACTTCTGATCAAATGACTAAATATGAGTTTTGGGAATCCTTAGTCAGGTTTAGAAAATTTCAGTACCAACTTCATTATAAATAGATGTTATTTGATATAGTTTTATGAAACTCAGTTTTGGAGTGAAACTAAAAAGAATTTCTTTTGCATCAGATAAGAGTGTGAACATTTTTTCAAAGACATTTCTTGGATTGTTTGTAAAAATGTCCTTTTAGTCTACAAGTTAATAAGCAGCAACAATACAAATTAGTAAGAAGGTATATGAAATACTTAACTAGAACAGTTCCAGATGGAATGTGGTAATTGTTGCCCAAGATCTCACTTCTTAGCTTGTCAAGTATTAGCAAGTTGAAATTTTAGAACAACAAAAAAATAGGAGTGGCAGTATGATCATAATTTTCCATAAAGATATGTTTTTATCATATGTGCTTGCTTAGGATATACATGTAGAATTACAGTCATTGGCTTTGAAAATGGAATGAAACTCCAGTCAATTCCAGTCACTGAATTAATAATGTTAGAAAAGACATGAATCAATTTTCTTCCAGACACATGTTAAATAGCAGAACAGTGAAATGACATCATGAAATATGGCTTGCCATGAATCATATAAAATCAACCCCAGAAACAGCCTTGGTATTGATAAGAGTGCTGCATGAATTAAGCTGAATATAAAATATAAACCTCGAATTAAAACATTAGTAACAAAGATACAGTAACAAATTTGTCATTATATTCAAGTTGGTTTTATATTCTATTTAAAATTCCATTGAAAATTTTTTAATAAAAATGACCTGGCAGCTATAAAAGTTTGGTCTAGGAGGAGAAAAATTGAATTTAAACCAGGTCTTTCTGGGGAGGCTCATGTTTACATACATGCACTGTTATTAGATTTTGGAGAATTTTAGTCCTGTGGCAATAAAATATAAAAACTGGAAATCCCATGCACCATTTCTCTGTTATCCATTCTTCTGAAAAGTTCTACAAATGACTTTACCATCATAATCAAATCATCTGTGTAGATGTGGTAGTTCACTTCTAAACTGAACTGTTAGACCACATATGCCAAAAATTGATAGAAAAGTCAATTACATGCACACTCACACAGAGCTTTATATAAAATGTTTCATTAGACCTAAGATGGAAAAAATGTTACTTGTTCTAACGCCCGATTTCTATTATTTCCTTCAAAGTGTCATTTGTATACTGACTAGAAAATAACAGCGAAAATCTCTGCTACATTTGACTAATATGCACTGTTCAAATTCCTTAAACTTTTGGGTTGTCGCAGTGTGCCCAAACACCACTCCCACCTTTTCTTAAACAACCCCGGATATGCCGTCTGGTAGAGAAAGGTCACGGCCCTTGTGTGCTAAAAATAGCAACGACATCCTTTCAAACTGTCAGAAACACACAAAACTCAATTTTCGCCACTAAGCAAAAATAAAAGACCTTTAATTTCGAACCAAAATTAATTTAAATACAGTCAACAAACACCGAACACACTTTTGACTGTAATTAATACGGCCCGAAATTAATTATATTAATTTACTTGTTTAGCGTCACTCTTCGCTACTGCCTTCCCTCTGCGACGCCAGCTCACTCCTGCAGCTTCCAGCACTCCTGCAGCATCCAGCTCACTCCTGCAGCTTCCAGCACTCCTGCAGCATCCAGCTCACCCCAACAGCTTCCAGCGGCCTCCAGCTCACCCTTGCGGCGCTCTACTGATGTCCCGCTACCTATTCCAGCACCTACTGACATCCTAATCCAGTGCCCACTGACGTCCAGCGCCCGTTATCGTCCGGACACCGTTCCCGAACAAACGACCTCTGTCGTCTTACCATCCACCGTTTGCAAATAAAGACACGATTTCCATCGTCTACAACGGACCATCTGCATTTGTCATCCTTCTTTGCTATTGCCAACTCCTTGCCTTTGTGTCCCCCTTTTTAGTTGTATGGTCGATTGGCACTCACACCTCTCGGCCCGCTGCACCAAGTGGTGACCCCGACGTGATTTATGGACACAGGCAAACGGCTAGCAGAGAAGATGGCGGAACACACCGAAACAGAAATCAACACATCAGCTGCCCTGATACAACTACCGCCATACAACTCGAAGTTGATTTATTCAACTTGAGGCGATATTTTCAGCACGAAAGGTCACACGGCAGGACACTAAATACGCCTCCGTGGTACAAGCCTTACCAGCATCAATCGTTGAAGAAGTGGAAGACATCCTTCTCAATACCCCGGACCAACTCCTCATCAGAGACTTATTCTCTAATGTGTCTCTCGGCGATAGGACACCATCCCAGCTCCTCCGCCTGATGAAGAGCTGCCTCGGGAAAAATACCCATCCCATCCTCCGAGGGCTATGGATGGATCGGTTACCACCGAATATAACACAAGTTCTAGCCCTGGTACCAGTAGAGACGCCCCTTGACGTTGTGGCCGACTCAGCCGACAAAATATATTCCCAAGCTCACCAAAAAGTTCACCAGGTTGAGAGCCACGGAAACCACACACAACGCCTCGAAGAGGAGATGACCCAGCTACGCGCAGAGTTGAGAGACCTGAAACTCTCCCTATGCCGGAGGCAGCGAAGCCCAGCACCACGCACGCTGAAATCGAAGCCGCACCCTCAGCTCAAGTCCAGGACGGAGAAACAGTGTGGACGAATGTTGGTACCACCCTTTCTGCAGACGCAATAAGGCCCAGGGAAACGAATAGACCGACAGGCAGCGGCGACGATCCCTGTCGGTACTCTTTCCACACAGTCGTCTCTTTACGTGTGGGACCGTAACAATGGCCTCAAATTCCTAGTTGACACTGGCGCAGCCATCAGCATAATACCACCCACCAACAGATCCGCCTTTGAAACCCACCCCATTCCAACTTCGAAGGCAAACGGCTCCACCATAGAAACCTATGGGAACAAGGAACTTACCTTGAACATCAACCTCAGGCACGACTTCAAGTGGTCATTCACCGTAGCTGACGTCAGGATACCCTTGCTCGGTGCCGACTTCTTGGCACATTACAACCTGGCTGTCCATATGAAGACGAGGACCCTGTCCGACAACATGACAAACATCAAGATTACAGGGATCCCATCGAAGCTTCAACACAACTAGGATCAGCGTGGCAACACAGCACGACCCCCACCACGTAGAAATCCTGCACCGTACAAGCACCTCACGCAACCCATCAAACCAACTGATGCAGGCGACCATCAGACCCAACACCATATAATGACCACCGGACAACCAGCATATTCACGGCCACGACGACTCCCTCCACACAAATTAGCATATGCCAAGAAAGCGTTTGAGGAGTTGCTGGCCGGCAATATCATCCGATCCTCAGACAGCCCATATGCTTCACCACTGCATCTGGTACCCAAATCCGACGGGATTTCAGGATCTGCGTGGATTACCGAAACTCAATGCGTCCACAGTGCCCGACCGGTATCCTGTTCCGCATATCCACGACTTTGCCTCAGGTTTACAGGGGCCCGCATTTTCTCAAAAATTGACCTGACCAAAGCCTACTACCAAGTTCCAGTCGCTCCGAGGACATCCCAAAGACAACAGTCACAACCCCTTTTGGACTGTTTGAATTCCTAAAAATGCCCTTCGGACTGCGCAACGCAGCCCAGACGTTCCAGAGGCTGATGGACGAAGTTCTGCGTGGACTACCATACGTCTACGCATACATTGATGACATCCTAGTGGCTAGCAAAGACGCTGATCTCCACAAACAACACCTGGAGGAAGTGTTCCGCCGTCTAACACATTACGGCCTCTGAATCAACCCAGACAAGTGCGAATTCGGTGCACAACACATAGACTTCCTCAGACACCATACAGACGCTCAGGGAATCACTCCACTTCCCGATAAGATAAAAGCCATACAGGATTTCCCGATGCCCACATCGATAAAGCAACTGCGACGCTTCTTGGGGATGGTAAATTTTTACCGCAGGTTTATCCCCGGATGCTCAAAACTCCTCACCCCCTGACAAATCTTCTCCAGAGAAAAAAAACAAAGCCATCACCCTGGAGGGCGACCAGGAAAAATCATTCAAGCAGCAAAAAACTTTTTAGCTAACTTTATGAAGTTAGCACATCTTAACGAAGACACCGGACTCAGATATATCTAACAACAGATGCCTCAGACACTGGAGTTGGAGCTGTGGTAGAACAGGAGGTTGACGACCAACGCAAACCCATCGCATTCTTCTCGGCTAAATTATCACCAGCCCAGTCCAGATACAGCACCTTCTCGAAAGAACTTTTGGCTATATACCTCGCCATCAAACACTTCTGACATCTACTGGAAGGCCGGAATTTCACCGTTTTGACCGACCACAAACCCTTGACAACTTCCCTGTCGAACAACTCGAACAAATATACGGCTCGCGAGATCAGACATCTAGACTATATCTCACAGTTCACGTCTGATATTCGTTATGTCAAAGGAAAAGACAACTCTGTCGCCGATGCCCTATCCAGATTTGATGTCAACACAGTGCAAGACAGCCCACTCAGCCAGGACCTGATAGCAGAGGCCCAGGAATCCGACGCAACCCTCCCTGAAGTCCTAGGCAACACATCCCTGCAACTGAAAGAATTTCCGGCACCCTTCAGCAGCAAAATATTGTACTGCGATACAAAACTGGATCACCCTAGACCCTACATACCTCCGGCACTCAGAAGGCAAGTTTTCAACCACCTCCATGGATTGTCACATCCCAGCAAGCGCGCTACGGTCAAACTCATTGCCAATCGTTTCGCGTGGCCCAATATGAATACTGACATCCGTAATTGGGTATCAACTTGCCTTAAGTGCCAGAAATGCAAGGTACACCGGCACACAAAATCCCCGCCAGGCACATTCAGCAACCCTGACGCACGCTTCAGCCACATCGACATAGTGGGACCCTCCCAATGTGCCAGAATTATCAGTACCTCCTCACAGTGGTTGACTGTTTCTCCAGGTGGCCAGTAGCAGTACCCATCAGAGATACCTCGCTAGCACGGTAGCAAAGACCATCCTTCAGGAGTGGATCGCAATTTTTGGCGCATCCAGCATCATCACCACAGACCCGCGCGCCGCAGTTTCAGTCCTCACTCTTTCAGGAATTCACTCAACTGCTCGGCGTCAAACACATCAAGACCACCGCCTACCATCCCTGTGCTAACGGCCTTGTGGAAAGGTTCCACCGAACACTAAAGGCCTCTCTAACTACAAAACATCCCACCAGCAACTGGGTAGATGAGCTACTCCTAATCCTTTTGTCAATCCATAACACACTCAAAGAAGACTTAGAATGCACTCCAGCCGAAATAGTCTTTTGGTACAGCACTCTCTTTACCCGGCCAATATTTCGACGACACCATACCCAACCTAACCACTGCAAGTCCTTTCACTCAGGAACTTCGCCATAAAATGGCCCAACTGAAGTATACACCACCCAGGCAATCATCACCAACTATCCACGTTCCACAACAGCTTCAGGACTGCGAGTTCATTTTTGTCCGAAATGACGCGGTAAAGAAACCACTAACACCAACATACCAGGGTCCATTCAAAGTTTTAAAACGCTCTGAGAAGCATCTCACCATTGATCGAGGAAGCCGGACGGACACCATCTCTATCGACAGAGTCAAACCAGCTTTTCTGGAAAAATCTCCACGGGAGGCAGAACCCGTCTCAACACACCCAGAACCCTCACCTGCCTCAACAACCACGCAATCGCAACCATCACAACCGAGGTCAGAGCCAATCCCAGAATCACCCGTCACTCCACCTAGGCAGATCCGTCTTGGAAGGAAAGTCACCTTCCCTAAGAAGTACAAGACATATATTTTCTTCTAATTGATAATGATCAATTATCCTGGGAGAGGGCCTTGTCGCAGTGTGCCCAAACACCACTCCCACCTTTTCTTAAACAACCCCGGATATGCTGTCCGGTAGAGAAAGGTCACGGCCCTTGTGTGCTAAAAATAGCAACGACATCCTTTCAAACTGTCAGAAACACACAAAACTCAATTTTCGCCACTAAGCAAAAATAAAAGACCTTTAATTTCGAACCAAAATTAATTTAAATACAGTCAACAAACACCGAACACACTTCTGACTGTAATTAATACGGCCCGAAATTAATTATATTCATTTACTTGTTTAGCGTCACCGCTTTCTCTTGTAATGAACTGGTCATATCTAGATGCCCGAGACTTCGCAGAGGTTTTTTAGTTGGCCCGGGAGCAGCCTGGCCTTCGGGCTGGGTTGCGACCCATGGCAAAGTCTAGTTTGGACCATATCAGGACCTGCTAAGACAAGCCAAGACCAACTTGGACCAGAACTTGACTAAGCTTTGACCAGCTTGGACATGTTATGACCAAAACATTGACTAAGCCATGACCAGCTTGGACATGTTATGACCAATCTTTGACCAGTGACCCTATGCGGAACGCTTGGGTTTTTTCACTAAAAAACGACCTTGTGTCACGACTTGACCGCGTGGGGAGTCAAGTAATCCCACGAAAAAACGACCTTGTGTCACATCTTAACCTCGTGGGAGTCAAGTAAATACCGCCGGCCGGGAGCAGTAGCAGCAGTTGTTCAAACAGGGCTAACTTCTGAAAGTCATTCGATCACCACTCTTCGAGGCTCCACTCACTTCACTCTTCGCTACTGCCTTCCCTCTGTGATGCCAGCTCACTCCTGCAGCTTCCAGCACTCCTGCAGCATCCAGCTCACCCCAACAGCTTCCAGCGGCCTCCAGCTCACCCCTGCGGCACTCTACTGACATCCCGCTACCTATTCCAGTGCCCACTGACGTCCTAATCCAGTGCCCACTGACGTCCAGTGCCCGTTATCGTCCGGACACCGTTCCCGAACAAACGACCTCTGTCGTCTTACCATCCACCGTTTGCAAATAAAGACACGATTTCCATCGTCTACAACGGACCATCTGCATTTGTCATCCTTCTTTGCTATTGCCAACTCCTTGCCTTTGTGTCCCCCTTTTTAGTTGTACGGTCGATTGGCACTCACACCTCTCGGCCCGCTGCAACAGGGTAATAACTCATAAGTAATAAGTCAATGTTTGTATCTTGATAATGACAAAAGAACTAATCTACCAATTCACAGTAGTTTTGGCAGTCTCACAAAATAAAAGTTGACATTCTTCCTAATGAGACTGTTCTTTATACAAATAAAATCAAGAATATCTATGGTGGCAAAAAATAGAGTTACTTTTGTTTTTTTCTCATATAGTTCAATTTTCAACTGTATTAATCATTAAATTTCATATCAGAATCCATTATCTGTATTAATTTCAGGCAAATTTATACTGTAGATTTTTTTTGTTTTGAAACCCAAATATTATCCATGCCACAGTATACAAGAAACCATATATGTAGTTCCAGGATTTTGGGATGTCCCAATTTTAAAGTGTTCCACAGAGACATTTTCAGATAAGAAAAAAAAAAAAAGCATTACTTACAAGACATGAGCTATGAAGATATAAAAAAATTACATCTAAGGATATTTAAATGATCCTGATTCCTTCTTCATTAACAGAACCACATTTAAGCATGTCATTAAATGTTGTTAAACTAATTATAGAATCAGCTGTACACAAACCAATTTCCATCTCACAATCTCAAATATATTGCAGTAAGTATGTTGCTTTGACTGAAAATAGCATGAGGGAGAATTGAAAGGATTCTTGACAAACCCATTCCCAAAAATCAGTGACTCAATGACCAAATCCCAGAATTTTTGAAAGGTTAAAAAAAAAAAAAAATTTGAAAATAGGTCATTCTTAGTTCAGCATCTTCCCATAAAGCAGTTATTATAACAGGCTACAAGATAAATACTCCAATAATATTGTAATTGCATTGTACTTATAAAATATCAAAAACTTTAAATGTCTTTACATTTTCTTGTTTATGTTTAATACTTCCTAAATAACATTAATCTTTTACTCTTCTTGGTGTAACAAATGTAAAAAAATGGTAATATATCACTCACACACACACTTTGTGTTTTGTACAAATATTTTCATGGCAATTGTTCTGGTGAGCTTTCCTCCTTGATAACTCAACTGCATGAATTTAAGTGTGATACTAAATTAGTAACTTGGTCTCCTCTTTTTACTGTTGAACTAGTTATATACAACCATATGTTCTATTCTCAATTTCTTTTCACACATTTTTCACCTGTGGAACCCCCTTCCAAATTTTTTACTTCCCTGTCATAGAAGCTTCAAAAGTTTAAATGCAATGCCATTCACCATCTTCTGTCTTCCTGAAACCTGTTCCTTTATTGATCTTCTCACTAAAATCTAATTCTCTTTCACACCCTATAACCCCTTGTGACCTAGTGGTACTATCACCTTGCTTGAGGGAAAAGGAAAAAAAAAAAAAGAAGTAATTTTCATTTTAGTAAACTGTTACACTATAGTTTTGAGCAAATGTTTTAGACACTTAAATATAATAGTAAAATAAGGAATTCATTTTTATTCAATTTACACATTGTCAAATGCTATTTATTTCATTTGTAAGATGCTAAGAAGTTGTTGCTCTTTGTGAGGAGAGTAAACAGCAAAAGGAAATTTCCTGTACCCTAGGAATATTCTGCCCATGTGTACAATAAATTTATAATTAGTATGCTGTAATGTTTTTCAGATAGACCAAAATTTGGTTGTAAAATGAAATAATCTCCACAAGACAAAAGCATAAAGATTATGTATGTACTCTTATTGTTTACAAAGGAAATTTCTTTGGTCAAATTTCAGGTTGGGGAAATAATAAAATATACAGTAAACCAAATGAAATGAAGAGGAAAAAAGTGTACTTTCATGTGTAAGTGGGTCATCTGACTGGAAAAAAGGAAAGAAAGATGTCTAACTCAACCTTTCTCAAGCACAAGATAATATGCAAGATCCCCTTATTCACAATTTAGCTGTAAAACAATGTGACAATTACATTATGGGGAACAATTTTAAGCAATGAAAATTGCAATTCCTAATAATATCAACATATAATCAATAAAAGCATATCCCAAACATGAATATTTGTACATTTTGAAATTGGCCAAACTGGTCTCCCAATTTGAATATCATAGAAAATTGCTGGAATGTACATTTACCTTGTACTGTCCTCTATACTAGAAAGGGCAGTACAAGATAAATATCCAGAAACTACTGATCAACTTTGGGAAAAATCAAAATGACTGAGTGGGCAAAAACTGATGATATCTTTATTTAAAATTCCTCTTTACCAAAAAGAATCATGGCTGTTTTAAGTAACAGTAGAATTAGTATGAAGTTCTAAGTAATTTTTATAATTGCTAGTTTAGTACCTGCCACTTTGCCAACAACAAGATGATCAAAGTTCAAATCTAAGTTGTTTGTTCATTTAAAATACTATAATACATCCAGTTTAAATACAGAAGGCATCATAAAAATGACTTCAAAGGGATGAGCACTGTCTCATGCTTTTACTGATGTTTTTTTTACAGCTTATCAACCTTTTTCAGATTATTTAAAGCTATAAAATATTCTTACATTGTAAGAATTTTTGAGATAATGATTTAATGATATAAGTCCTATTAATTAACCCATAGCTAGTGGGAGAAGAGATGTATTCATACCTTTCTCAAGGGCATTTGTGTGTAAGTAAATCTAACAAGCCTGAGTGGAATTGGAACTCAGTTCTACAATTTTCAATTCTGAGCTGTTATTCATTACACCACCCACATATCCATGTTTACAGTAACTGGTATTTCCAAACAGTCACCCATCTATGTACTGAACAGGCTTGGTGTTGCTTAACTTTGGTGGTCATACAAGAATCAGTTTTCAACATGATATGAACATATCTTTTCCTAGGAGTTGTTGCCATGCAGAAAAGGATATTAATCTTTTCAACACCTGCCCATTTCAATTTCTATTTAGTTACGCATATACATTGTGTATATACATGCATAATTTAATGGCAGGCCTAACAATATTTCTATAAAATTTGAAAAAAAACACCATTAAAAGAATAATTTTATTTATTACCAAATAATATCCTAAAAGTTTGATAAAACTTACCTGATTTTTTTAAAAAATTAACTTTTTTCTGTCTCTAACTTCATTTTACAACTCAGCCCAGATTAGGGATTGTCCAGATTGAGTGAAAATGCAATGTATTATTAGTTCAAACTCAGTCAAATTGTGCATGTGCATGCATGTACATTATATGACATAAGCCCCTGTAAGTTACTCATGCACAATGCAGGTATGCACATATACAGGGTAAATTGTCACCATTTTATATTTTTAATTTTGTGCATGCATGTTGTTTGTTTTTGATTTTGTTGACTGCACAATACAGTAGGGTTAGATGAGCACCATCTGTGAAAAAAAGTACACCATGACACTCAGCCAAAAATTTGAAAATGGCATGCTGTACTACTTGGCATTCACACCAAAAGCTTTAATACAAACATTTCAGAGTGTTTGGGGGCCAATCAGAGGACAGTGCAGAGGATTCAGAAAGTGTCGGATGAGTCGAATGGTGATTACAAGGTATGGCAGCTTGGAAAGTTCACTGATCATTCTGATAAGGAAAGAACTCCCATATTTGTTGGTGAGGGCCTCAGACTAAACACAGAGGCCTACACCAAGTGCCTTGAAGAGGTAGTGCTGCTCTGGGTCAAGAGGGTGTCTGCTAGAAGACCCTATGTCTGGCAAACAGGACTCTGCACCATGTCACACAAGCAGGAGAACCCAGTCATGGCTGTCAGACAATTTCTGTGACCACATCACCCCTTACATCTGGCCACCTAACTCCCCAAACTGCAACACCCTTGATTATTATGTTTGGGTTGAAGCTGAGTGAGAGGCCAACAAAACTCCTTGTAACACCAAAGATGAACTGATGGCAAGGATTATGGTAGCATTTACCAACTTAAACAAGGAGAGTGTCTAGAAGAAATACAGGAGATTCTGAAGTCATCTGGAGGCCATGATTGAAGCCAATAGCGATTTTATTGAATAAATTTACTCTTTAATATTTCAAAATATTGCAATTTTGGTAAATATATCTGTTAAAATGTAATGTCAGTGTTATTTTCATTTTTGCATAATTTAGACAAATTCATTGGGCCCTGTATATACATGCACATAAAGACAGTGTGTGATGGACAAAAAAATCAGCTGTTTTATAATATAGATAATTTATGGCTTTAAAACTGGTTTAATATTTTTTTGTTTAACTTCTCAAAAATATCTGCTCACTTAAAGTCTTATAGCTCTTATTAAAATTTATTACCTGCTATATATTCAAAATATATATATATAAAAAAAAAATTAGATTAATATGTTCTTTTATCTGTAGTTTACTCTTGACACTATGTGCCAAAAACATTTGCTTGAGACTATTTAAAGATGATAAAAATCTAATTGTGAAAGTTAATTTGCCATCCATAGATAATCTTTTTTTTTTATTTATTCATTTTAATCATTTCACCCCAAGCAAGGCAACAATGCCACTAGACTTAAAAGGTTAGAAGAAGTTAAATTGAAAGAAAATGAGAAGACTGAGAATGAGGAGGATTGAGGAAAGGACAAAAAAAAAATATAGGAAATGGGTTCAAGAAGACAGAAGATGGCAATTGACATTACATTTAAATTTTTGAAGATTGTTGTTATCAAGGAAGCAAGAAATGTGTAGGACATAGGCAATCATGGCTCTCCACTTCCCCCCTATCCCTTGTGGCTTTCAACAGGTTTTGTGTTTCTGCCAACTCCCCCAAGACTGCACTGTGCCATCCACCTGCCCAATCCAGCCACATATGTCATATACTGCTTTCTTGTCTCTTTTTCCCTTTATTCATCCCATGAGTATCAGATTCCCCAGGCCCTCCTTTCTCATCATGTGTCACA